TGCTGCGGTGCGTGGGCCTGCGGGGAGGGCTGCTGGCCTGCCCCACGGCCACGGGCTGTCCTCGCGTGGCCACCGACACGGGGCCGGGGGCCCGCGGCGGTGGCGTGTGCTGCAGAGCACCCGGCAGAGGGAAGGAATTGGACTTGCATTTCACTTACTGTGGGAAGGTGGCCTGTATAAACTTGACTCGTGTACATCACCTGCTGAGCAATCCAACTGTAAAGTTAATTGGCATGAATACAAGATGTATACTTTTCCTAATCGACTTCAGTGCAATTATATCCAAAGGCCCTTTTTGTGGTCATTCATGGAGCTTAATTGCCATAGTTTAATATTACAATTAAAAAAGGCCTGGAAGGAGAGATAAATATTAGGCTCCTGATGAATGATAATTATCACTTTGTGTAGATGGATGCGGATGGAAAACATTTCTAATTAAATTATTCTTGTAACATAAATTAATAGTGTGATCTGGATACAGCACTTCTGATGTCACATCTAGAATATTTCTAAGAGTACCAAGTTTGTGCCAGGATTCCAGTCGTCAGGTCAAATTGTCTTTTAAAAATACCAGACTTTTCAGTCAGTTTATCATAGGTTTCTGCAGTGAAGATATTCAGCAATGATAGAATGATTCAAACATTGCACAGAGAATAAAATAAAATAAAGCTATGCAATGAGCATAATCTCTTAGTTCTACAAGCACGGGAGATTCACAGTCTAAATGACAGGGATTCGTAGCATAACTGTCACACGTTTTCTTCCTGTATTAATTTTATCTCCATCTGAGGATTTTTGCAAGACGTAAACCATTAAGCTAATACTCTGAAAACAGGAAAGCTCATTAGCAGCTCTAGGGAAGGGAGTGAGATGGGCAAGGAAGGTGCAGGTCATTAAGGTTGGAAAGAGAAGGAAGCGTGAAAGTTTTAAGAAGAATTACTTGACATGAAATCTGTCTGTGCTCTGTAAAAATCTAATTATTTTTGTATACCTCGCATTTCTTTCTCATCAGTGAGACCTACAGTGCCGAAAGTAAACAGGCAAATGTAAAGGTCGCAGCTGAAGGTGTCGGACTGCATTTCAAAAAGAGGATTATAGATAATTGTTCTAAGATGACCGGTAGCTTTCTGGCCTTATACATGTAGCTGACACGTTAGGTGTTGACAGCAGCCCTTTCCAACAGGCCCTATTAGACATTCGTTTTAAGTTTCTAGAGCGACTGTCCATGACTCTGACAGGGTATTTTTGAAGGGCGTAAAGTGGGAGAGAGATGGCCACTTTCTGTCAGAAGATAATGGGAATTTTGTGTCAAGGCACTCTCTGTGCTTATGGAAGACTGTCCCTGAGATTTTCTGCATGCATGCCCTCTTGTGTATGCTGTACATTAGTGCTTACTGTAGATACCAAAATTTGGCACTACTGTATCTCTCTAAACATTAATCCATCTGTCTGTCACCATGGTAACAAGGCTCCCTATTGATGACTGAAGAAGAGCTGAACCATTAAAACTAAATGTACACGGTTAAAAAAAAAAAGTGAATAAGCTCACTTGGCGTAGCACTACAGAGACACAAATGGTTGAAAATGGGCTAATTAATATTTTCTATGCATTATTTTTATTCACAGTTATAGATCTGAAATAAAGCCTATTGCTAAAATGATCTTTAAATCTCACCTTTGCTTTTCCACATCTATTTATTACGTATTCTACTGAACTCAAAAAATGTGCATTGTTTCAGAAGTTTACATGTTCTATGGTATATATTTGTCCCAGAGAGTGTAAAGATGAGATTAATATCTTAAAGATACCAAGTACAAAGCAGATTAGAAATGTTGCTGAATATTTTACTGCACATGTTCTCTCTCTTTCTCTTTCTTCCATGCTTGTAACATTGCCAAAATAAAATCAGTAAAGTGCACACATTTATTAAAGCATCATTGTCTAACTGAGCGCTGTTAGTTGGACCTGAGATTTTTTGAGAAGCAGAATGTTGTGGAAACTCCGACATGAATTACTGAACTTCATAAATCATTCTTGGACAATGAATTTCCATTTTTTATTACACTGGCGCCACGCATGCTATTAATGGTAGACTTGAATCTATAATTCTATTAGGCTATAAAGAGGCCTTTGGTTTTGGAGTAGAAATACAGCTTAAAACTAACCACTGACATCTCATCTCTTTCTGTGTGCACTGGACGGACGGTGCTTTTTGTTCTCTGGAAAAACGCTGTGTATTTTCTTGACCCTTTGCAGAGTTTCTTTTCCAAGTCTCTTTGGTCTACTCACAAGGTTAACTCTAATAACAGCTACAAAGTGGATAAAATGAGAGACCAGAGAAAGAAACGGGAATACTGTGTTTCAGAATGCTTTGCCACATTCACTGAGCTGAAAGTATGATTATTCTTCTTTATGCCAAGATTTACAGCGCTCTGGTATGTGTTTTAAACTATGGCCCTGAGCTTATAATAAGCCCTTGGGTCAGGAGGTTGTTCAGAAGGGCGTTTTATCAGCCCCATGGAAGGCTGGCTGGTTGGAAGGTCAGACGGGGGCATCGCTCTGTCTGTCTGTGCATAGTGGAGTGGAGCTGGTACACATGCACGTGTTGGATGTAGGTGTATCAGGCAGATTTTAGTAAATCTGACATCCTAGTGAGCAAACGGGGGTGGTTTGCCCTGTTACAGTGTGTATGAACCCCTCGAGGACCTGGAATGTCAGCTGAGCCTACCTGGTAGAACAAGGAGGTCCAGCCTGGGGTTTCTGATATGGGGCTGACATTTAAAATGCTTTCAGCTGAGCAGGAGGCTAGAGGAGCTTGCAGGTGTGGAGGAAAGCAAGCAAACAAGCAAGCAACGAACCTACCAATTTCCCTTCCTCCCTCGTTCTTCAGGTGAAGAAAGATGATCCCTTGAACTAATAGAAAATTGCATTCCTGTCTGATATGAAGCAGAGGGGCAAGAAAGAAGTAATAACTGAAGAGAGTCTTCCTAGTTTGGTCTTTGACAGAAAATAGAAGATGAATTCTGAACTTCAGAAATGCCAGGGTTATAGCATGTATTGCCCTGGGTGGACAGAGACATGACAACGCATTCCGAACACGAATGCTTTTGGGGGTATAAAAGTGGCCCATGGCCATGCAGATGATGGCCACCTGTGATGTATGTTGTGCTCTAATTTGTCTTTGTTCCAAGCGGTATGTCACCACCTCCACTGGATCCAGCAGGCCTTCCAAGACAGTGGCAGCCACAAGCACAATTTCTCTGTGTTCCTCTAGTGAGCTAAGCTTTCTAAGATTTTAAGGAGATCTTTATTGGTCAATACAACTCATTCTGCTTTTCCAAATGTTAAGACAACAGAGTAGTGTGTTCCCCTGATACAATGAATTTCAGGTAGTTTATTATATAAAGAATCCTATAGTGCAATCAAATTGCATTCCTAAGGATGGGGGGAACTTTGCTTTTTACTTACAAAATTATACATTGTAGTAACTTTTTAATTGCAAAAGGTTGTGTTAATGTGCAAAATTTTAAAGCCGTACGCATTAAAAATTATTATTCCCATTCTAATTCAACATTGAAAAGACAGTATTCTCTCTTTTCAGAGAGAGTATTTTCAAAAAAAGTATTCTTATTTTCATGATTTTTAGAAATCATAAAATTTTGCTTTTTTTTAAATTGAATTTTGCAAGATCTGGACAACATCCTGTGTCACTCCAGTGAATTCCTTTCTCTCTTGAGAACTCAGTCTTCTGAAAATTTCCTTTTCCTCAAAACATGCTGTTGTAATAAAACTTGGTTCAAATCCTCACCTAGCACAAGAGTTACTTCCTTGCCAGCTGTATTTCTGTCTTCAGGCTATGTAGTACCTATGTCCTCTCACTCCAGACAGGAGAAATTTGACTATCTATAGAGGGCATGCTTCTGCACTGCCCACAAGTTTGGCTGCTATTTATATATGATGGAGCATGTTTAACTCTGTTTCAGTTCTCAGCCACTCAACAGAGACAGAGCATTTCCTGATCAAAAACTTCATTCAAACAACAGAGTTTTGGGCCAGCTAGGATTCTTGCTACAGCACTGCTATGCTTCCAGCTGTCTCGTGTTGATGTCCTCTCCCAAAGTTTAATTTCATCCATGTGCTGTGTGAATTGTACTCCACACGCACATGGAAGCATCTTAGGTGCATTTCAGATAAATGTTCAGCCCAGCAGCTGCTGAGGATATCTGTCAGGCACTTGCTGGACTCCAGGATCTATGTGGTCTGTTCCCACCTGGAAGAGAAGCCTCTGCTTTCACAGTATCTCTCAGTACTGCAAACAACATGTTCCAGGCAGGTGTCATTTGTCAAACAAAATCTAGAACTGAAGATCTCCCTTCTCTCCTCCCTGACCATGCTGTGATATGAAAAGCTCTGAGCCACACCGAGGATTCAAAAGGCCACTGGTTATCGCACCCTGGCATCGCTGCAAAACCCTGTTTCCTGTAATCCCTGAATCGCTTCGTTCTCTTTCACTTTCTCTGCTGAAGCTGAGGAAGATGCGGGCAAGGTGCCTGCATGCAGCAGTACGAAGTTCTTGATCTGCTTGCTGCCCAGAGCAGGCTGCCAAGCTGTGACAGACAAGCAGTATTAAGGAGGTGGTGAGTCTTGATGGAGATGGGAGATGCACCAGCATCTCACCCACTCGCAGGGTCAGAGTGCTTCATTGCTGGAATGTCAGCTTCTTCGAAAGCTGTTCAGGCGCTTTCTGACTTTCACCCCTGTTAAAACCTCATCCAAGGACATGTCACAGACCCTCTCAACCCTTCAAGCAACAGAACCGGCCCAAGCAACTTCCAGCCTGAGCATCCCTAATTCATGGTGACTGAATCCAGTGCTTCTCCACTGAAGTGGTTTGCATAGCAACACTAGATGAAGCCTTAACACGTAAGCACTTGGGTTTATTTAATTTGAGGGGCAAACTCTTCTACTTACAAGAAATCTTTTTACATACAGATCTACATGTATTTTACAACATGTTTTTATTTAACGTTTTCTGCTTGCCATCTATTTTGAGTAAGGGCTTTGAGGGCAAGTATTTCCTTCCCTCACCTCAGCTCCACAGCTGGCCTCCTAGAGAGGGATGGCAGGGAATGTGGGCTGCCTCTGTTGGGCAGGGATATGGGGCAGGCAGCAAAGCAGTGAGATACTGTCAATCTGCCTGAGAGGGCTTGGGTTTTGTTCTTGTGTGGGCCTTTCATGGCACAGGCTTGATCACTGACCTTTGCAAGGAGTATTCCTCAGCCTGCCGACTTCTCAGAGGCTGGGGAGGAGCGAAACTTATGAGGTGTTGAAAAGCTGGAGAGTTGTATGCTTTGGGTAAGTTGGTGGAAAGGAGTGATAAACTGGTGCTTTTCATGACGTTGGAAGGAAGTGGGAGGTTTGGGGTTTTTTGGGCTTTTTGTATAAAGAGGAAACTCTCGCTTTTGTCTTCTTGAGGAGGTGCAGAGGAAGGAAGGAAAGGAGTGGGGGTTTTTTGGTCACGTATGATGAGAAAAATTCTGCCCTGTGAGCACTGGTTGGAATGAACATTCACTGAAGCAGTGCCTGCAGACCCAGGTGGTGCTTGTGAGGCTGTGCTGTTGCTGTACACATTTGCCTACACTTCCAGGGCTCAGGATTGCTTGGAGGCAGCAGCAATGCTGAGATGGATACAGACAGACTGAAAGACATAATCTTATGGGGCTAATCCACATTGAAGGGTTCAGCAAACCCCTCATACAGAGATGGTGAGAGATGCATCCCGTCACAGGGCTTCTCACAGAACATGGGAAACTGGCATCCACTGTATCCTGGAAGTCCAGGTGGTCAGCAAGCAGACTGCACAGTCCCTCCCAGCACTGCATGTGTGCAGCTTGGCTGGATGGGGGCACTTCATTCAAGATTAAAAAGCTGCAATGCCTGAAATAAACACAGGTTGTCCATCTTTGCAGAAGCCAAGGTTCTGCAGAGGGGGAGACAGTGCCAGCTACCCACTCTGAAAGGGTGGAGAGTTGTCAATGGCTGATATTTTTCTTAGTGTGGTTATAAGAATTGTGTAGACACAGCCCGTGGGAATTTTTTATCCTGTCTTTTGTTCCCTGCAACGGGGGAGTCCACAGGGGGTAAAGAGCTGACAATATTTTCAAGTGTTGCTGAAGAAGATTATGTGGGGATACAGGCTGTGGAGAGTGGCTTTGAAGATCTTGACTGTAAACAGACCCACCTTGGATTTGCTGAAGCTAATCTGCACTAGATGCCTCCTGAATATGCCTGTGTGCCCAGAATGCTAGTTAGTGCTGAATGGCAGGTGCTCACTCTGAGACAGGCACCTCGCACCTGTGGCCAAGAATGCTTGATGATCTACGGCTTGTCCCAAATACAGGCCATAACATGGTGCCACAGGGAATGTTAGTCTCCAAGATGAAAAACCTCGTAAGTTATGAAGTATTGGTTATTGGAAAAAAAAAAAAAAAAAAAAAAAGATCCTTGGAAAAAAAGCAAAAAAAATCTATTTTCTGTAAGTCTAGAAGTTTCTGCAAAGCATTGAGATGTGACATCTAGAGATGGCTTACCTGGCCCAGGCAGGCTCAGGAGAGGCCTGAGACACTGTCATGATTTCTTGAGCTGTTGCACAAGGAGCAGGTATGGTGGCAGCTGCAGCAAGCAAAATAACAGCAGGTGGGGTGTGCTTGCAGTGCAGGCTATGCAGAGGTTACTGATGTATGCTAGGCTTATTCTGAGCAACATGTTGTGGTTAGGTATTGTGGTTAGAACAGACAATTGCTGAGTGTTGTGCGTAATGCATAACAGACATGGCTGTGGTATGCAGATAAAAAAAAAGCATGGGATGAATTTTTCACTAAAATATGCTTCTCTGAGTGTGAAGAAAGGATGAAGTTAGATGGTTAGGAAAGCACTAGCTCTCACCTGCATGCCAAAAGCTCATCTGCGCCAGTTGGCCTGGATGAGAATCACAAAAAATGGAAGTAAAATTGGGTTCTTATAAATCCCCATGAGCTCACGTCACCAGTAATTGGCTTTTCGTTAGCCTTTCTCTGTGGAGGAATCCTTCCTAGTTGCAGTTATCTTCAGAAGTGGAAAAATGCAAGTTTTTACACAATTTTCCCTTTCAAGATGTTCCTTCTGAGTAAAGCCGTCCCTAAAAATCCACCTGCAGCTTCCCCCAAGGGCAGTGAGTGCCAGACTTTTCCCCTCATGATTTCCTCTGCCCCTACTCCTCAGCTCTGAACAGCCACCTGAAGCTTCAGCCATCAACTTTACCAAGTATTCACCATCTCTGAGGCATCCAGGGCAGATGCCATCTGCATGAAGGACTCAGACTCCTCACTACAGGTATTTGGAGATTTCGTTCTTCTCCATTTAACCCCACTTTAAATTTCCACATGGAAATATATATGTTCGTATCTCAAAGTTAAAAGGGGAGCCTCCTTACTAGTAACTGAAGCTCTTCAAGCTCAGATATTCACACAAGCATCTCTCCTCACCCTCCTTCCTTCTGACGCTGCTACTGGTCACTTGGGGCTCTGAAGCTGAGAGGCAACTGAATTAGGATGGTCTACTTCATGAGCTGGAGGGAAGGCAGGCTGAGTGCACCCCGCTGTAGGCAAAGTGAAAAGATTTCTCCAATATCTGCTTACACATACCTGTGGTACAAATGAATACATGGATGTCACACTGGGAACTCTGCTTACTGGTAAACACTTCTGTTACCTTTATATCGAGTCTGAGTTTAAATTGTTCTCCCAACCTTATTTCTTTCCAAAGTTAAGATTTTTTTCCTGATAGTGTTCTGTACCTACACTCCTTTTAATCAAATAAAACATACCAATTCATACTGCCTCCAAGACTAATCTTTGCTTATTATTTATTGCATGAATAATTTTCTTTAGAATTCTGAATGGTTTTCCTGGATTTGCTGGTTACAGTTTTATTGGTTTAAGATGTGATTGTACTGCAGACTACCATTTGCTCATCAGAATTCATTTATATGAATGCTAGTAGATTAGTATAAACTAATTCTACAAAAATTAAGATTTATAAACTCATTCTCCTATTTTGGTGTAAAAAGCATGTGTTCTAAAGCCTTTACAAGTTACTCTCAGAATCTTGGCCAAAACATTCTCTTATCCATACAAATAATCTCGTACCATTTCTTATAAGAAGTTACTGGGTTTTTTGAAGAATAATTAGTTAACATAATTAATGGCTAATAATCTTACATGAAAAAATAGAAATATGTCTTACAAGGTCCATTTGGGCACATGTGAAGAAGACAAACTTAGGAGGATGCTTAAAAGTGAGCCATTACATTGATTTCAATATGAAATTTGCATTTATTAAGTGAGAACCACATTTCCATTGGAAGATGTTGCATCAACTAGTAGTAGAATTGCTAAAACTCTGGTGCCATAAACACATATCTAGTCAGGCACAAGCTTCTGAGCAGAACAAAGCCTATCCATTTAAGTGTTCACAGAAATATGGGAATGATAACTATAGTAAATAAATAAACAAAAATAGTGGAAAAATGTTTTTGTTTTATGCTTCTGACCACACTTGTGTATGATCAGTATTACATTTCTGTTGATTGTCAGACTTCCTTTCTTTACTGCAGTGTTGTCAGCCATATGATTCATGAGTCATATCTAGTCCTTTGTATACAGAGCTCACTGAATATTCAGATTCTACAGAATATAAATTATCAAGTAAACGAAATAATTTTTTTAGCCTGTTTGCTGGGGAGAGAGGGAAGGAACCCAGGCTTTCCAAATTTGAAATTAATTCAGTCCTTGCAGTGCTGCACCCCTGAGTCTATCATGGCTTACTGTCCTGAAAACAATAGCTCTGAGAGGTATAAAATGACCTGTTCTCCCATATTCTTTTTGCTGATTGTTTTATGGCAGGACAGTGGGAAAGAGGGGTGGGTATGAAAGAAGGTATGCGCAGTGGGGAGAGCAGGTCTAGAAGAGACACAAAAACAAGTTGAAGGCAGGGAAAGGAGAATGGGAACGAAAAGAAAGGAACAAGAGAAAAACAATGACACTATGCTAAATCTTCCCCGTTAATGATGCTGAATGGTGACAGTGAAGCATTAAAGAGATTTTCAAAAGCAATTAGCTCCATTTTGAAACGGCCTAGTTAAGTGTTTAATGATGCAGGTAGCCCCCCCTCTGGGATTTACAGAAGTCCCTAATTGCCTAATTCCTCTGGGTAAACTATTATGTATTTTGTGTTAACCCATATAAACAGACGTTATGGATGTGTTCCACTGACAGCAATGGATGGTTCTGCTGTAAATGCTCCAAGTGTGTAGTCCAAAACAGTGAAACAGCCCACGACTATAATTATGAAGAAGGCTTTTCTCAAAATGAGTGTCATGCTCCTTCATGAGCTGTATGGAATCACCTTCTTGTGCTCCACTGCAGAGCACAAGTTCCTACCTTCCCACAGTACTGTAAGTGGCTGCTTGCTGAGGCGGTGGAAAAGCGAGGCAGCCAGGAAACATACGCAGAGGGGGAGCAAAAATGGTTGTATATGAGGTAACTGGAGCATATCTGTGGTTATTCTTTTGTCAACTGGGAGTCCAGTCCCTTCTATTTCTATAGCCCCAAGTAGGGCACAGAAGGAAAAAAATAAACATCTGTAAAAGGGATATTATTTTACACAGGAGATATTAGTTAAATAACTCTCTCGAAACATTTATATTTTAATTGGTTAATTAAAATAATTGCTGTTAACAGCATCCCTTTAACTACATGGCCATTTATAGGTATGTATTTTATTATTTTTTGGTTTGTCTCCTATGGGAACAGACTTACACGATTGTTTAAAGTGTCAGTCAGACTTTCCTTCTCTCCCCAGAGGACGACTCTGGAACTTGCTCAGCTGAATAGGAAAGAAAGAGAAGTTTCAAGTATAATTAAATTTTTGAAAGTTTCGTAAAAGTCAATGGAAGATAATGCCAGTGCTGTGGAAAGGACTTGGTCATTATGTGCTGCCATCCTGAGCAAGTCAGAATGAGGTGGCTTGTGTTTATCTATGAGTCCACCACTACCAGAGGTGAAGGTCCTACTCTCCCTTCCTTTTCTGTCTTTAAGCTGTGTGTTGTCTCCTCACACTTTTTGCCGGCTCTTACACCCATGGGATGCCTCTGCAAGCACATCTGGTTGAGCCTGGAGTTCAGTGGCAGCCTAGACCTATCGAAGTGCTGCCTACAGTCCTACTCTCTACCCCTTTATTTTATATCTATTTGAATTTATATTATATATATTTATAAAGAGGAAAACTCTTTCCTCTTTCACTGGTGTCCTTTCCCTGGGCCATGTGTTCCTACCCCTCCCTTGTACAAGTCCTGGATGCTTTGTCATGTCCTTTGATGAGTCATTTCAGCTTCTTTCAGTGGCAGAAAGTTAACTCAGTGGGAAAAAAAAAAAAGTGAATAGTTTTCTATTTCTGCTGATACTTTTGTACCAAGACAGCTTAGCAAAACATCTGATGAGCAGTGGAGAGAGTGCAAGGGTGAGGGTGGAAGGGTCTGACTCGTGGAGAGGACAGGACAGCTGCCACCCTTCACTGCTAACTTTAGGAGCAGGAAAAGGGTGAGAGAGGGAGGGCTTCCTCCCTTGGCGCTAGCGAGTTGCTTCATTTTTGGTTATTTGGTGGCAGCCGGCTGGCCCCAGTCAGCGTGTGTGCAGCTCCCAGTTAGCTACAGCATGCACTTCTCTTGGCCCGTGGGGAGTGTCCTGCGGGCCCTGGGTGAGAGTGAGGTGGTTGTGATGGGGAAAGGAAATCCAGAGCCCTTTCAGCCACCGCTGACACTTGTGTTAATATTAATTGTGCTGAACACAAAAATAATGAGGCCTGGCTCAATAGCAAGGAGTTTAGCAACGGCGATGCCTAGAAATTGGAAAGCAGATGTGCAGTGAAGGGTACAGAGGGGTATGACCCATGATCATATGTTCATTTCTCTGAATAGCCAAATTCACTTCCTGTCTGTATTGTGGGAAACAAAAAACAAAACAAAAAAATGTTTTAAAGAGGAAGTTTAATGAAGGAAAAGTACTGGTTTGGTAAACTAGGATTAGGACAAAGATGTATGAACCGTGTTAATTAAGAATCAGTAATGTGGATGCCTGACTTCACTGAAGTATACAGAAATTTCTGTATAGTACTGACTGATTAAATGATGCTGTTCTGCATCATGCAATGATGACTACAAAGATCTTCACAGGGAAGCAAAACATCAAACAAACTGTAATTCACTCCACTGTTTGAACAGTGTACTCTACTAATAAATGACGTAAGACCGAGGAAAATTATTTCCTGGCTCCAGTGAGGGAACTTTTGTTGTGCTCCATGACTGATAACACTGGAAAATTTGGGGCTTTTTCCTCATGTAACTGTACTTTACTGGCCCTTTCTTTTGGTTGGCTCGTGTTCTGTGTCTGCTTCCCAGAATGACTGACTTTTTTCTTTCCTTCTCTCAAATTAGAGCAAGCATAAATATATAGGGTTAAAATACCACACTTATGACCTCGCACAATGTTTGTGTTTATTTTTTCAGTTTAAACTGTAAGATTTTGAGGCAGTTTCCCTTCAGCTATGGAAGCAGTCATTGATCAGGGAAGCATGCCTGATTCTGAAAACTTCTGGATTTTGATTGCATTTTTAAGGAGAATTTTTGTTTTATTTGGCTGGAATGAATGAAAATTTCCATAAATCCTGACTTTTATCCAAAGCAATGAAGCTATATGGTAAGAAGCCAAAGTTAGAAGTTGAAAAACTATAAAAATATTCCAGACTCTATATGATTAAGCCATTACAGATTTTTAAATTCTAAACAACTGTGTTTCGAATGCTTCAAAGCAGAAAAAAGCCACCCTGATCAAGAGATATGGTTTTAACATGCAGTGGGTAAATGTAAATACAAAATTGATTCTGGTCTCCAGAGCTTGCCATGAAAAAGTTCTCTTACCTCCTCTTGCCTGCTTAACTCATCTACTGCAGAGGAGTAGTATATGCTACACTTTGTTGGAAGGCTGTACAACAAATGGCTAGTCATCTCAGTCTTTCAAAAGCAAGACTTAAGAGACACTTAAAAGCTTTTTGGACCTGCTTAAGTTGATTGCATTGTAATGATAACCTCTATCTTTTTTTTGATTCCTTAGAGAGAGATTCGGATGCACATTCTCACTCGCTCTTCCTGCCAACTTTTATGAAATGCAGTATTGCTAGTTTACCCAAAGTCTTTTTCAAGGAAATGAAGTACTTTCACAAAATGAATAGTTGGTAAGACTCTAAAATGATGGCTCACTGTCCAAGCAATGGTCCAGGGAGAAGTAACTTCGGAAAAACAGCAGAGAAAAGGGAGAAAAATATTTGGTCTGGAAAACAAGTATATTATACAAACCTCAGCACTACCTGCTCTTGACATTGTAAACTGATGTGTATGATGTACTGAAGTATTTGGCAAGTCTGGACTTGCAAGGCTACTTTCAGTGTCTCACATGACTATGGTATCACAACTCTGTTTGAATTTTAAAAAATTTCTTCAAAATTAATTGTGGAAAATTTGCCTAGAAAGTGTGTCCATGACAGTGCCGAGCTTGCTTTCCACCTGTAAGAATATCAGAAGATCTTTCAGTATGATACCTGTCATTTCCTCCCCTGTTTTGTTTGGAAGTAACAAGCAATTGACTTGGCAGTGCAGGATGTGTAGAGTACATGTATCTTATGTCCACAATGATAGTTTTCTAGTTCGTGTTTATTTAATCACTTAAATACTTTGTCTGATAATGCTTCCAGCATAGTCAAGCAGATTCCGCCACGAAGCATGGTAACAGATGTTCTATATATGTAAGGTGACGTGTCATCTCAGCAAATTAGCTGCCCTGTTGTTTTAAGACTTGCCCTTATGACACCTCCACACTGCAGACAGGGTAAGAGATAACAGCTTTCAGTGGCGATAGCTCTTTCATTAGCATTTCCGAACAAAAAGACATTCTTTTTTCTTTTTAAACTAAGTGATGTTGCTGCCACATATTCATCTATTGCACGAGATCAACGTGAGTCACAAACAAGACATCAGAAGAGTTCATACCGTAACACATGATCCTACAAAGTTTTATGAAGAGAGAGTATTTGTCCTACCTACTGTGTTTAAGATTTAACCTATACAGTGCCTCAAACCAATTTTCAGTGATGTTGTAAATAAATGATAACAAATGATTTCAAGAATAATGTTGAATTGTGTGAAGTGTTAGCTGTATAAAATATTCTTTGTACGGGAGTTTTCAAATTGTTTTAAAAACAACTTCAAAGAGGTGTTGATAGCATGTTCATAATGTTTGCAAAAGGACATGAATAAGACTCCAAATCGCAATGCAATACTGGTACTGATTAGGGACTAGAACAGGCTATCACGTGGAAAGTAAAATGCATGGCACTGGGTGATCCTGTTAGAATCAAAGTAGGTTCACTACTGAAAGTAAAAGTGTGGGTTTTTTCTCTGAGTTTAATTTCTAGAATTATTTTTCCAGGCACTCCTCAAATTCTTTTATGTATTTCTCTCAGTTAATATGGCTGAAGTTCACTTCCCAACCACAACGTCTTAAAAACCCAAGGGAAAGACTGTGGAGTGAGACAGCAGCTTGAACGAGGTGCTGGTATTGTTTACAAATGTTTTGCTTCTGAAGAGTGTTTCTGAAATTAGCCTGAGTGCTACCTGTGAAGATAAGACAACAATGACATTTTTGCATGAACTGTTTGCTCTGTTTGCAAATGTCTAAAATATTTCATAATATCAGGAGAGAACAGTGCCATTTGACATCATACAGTTATTAATATTGTCAAAGCACTGAAGACAGATCTCCAGCAATATGCTAATCAAAACCTCATGAAGATGAAAAATGCTTGTCAGTGAACCACAAAATTTCTGTCAGCAGCCTTCTGCTGGCATATATTGACACTGCATTCGGGAAGATAGAAAGAAAAGTTATTAGCTGTTTATAAAAAACACCTCAAAGTATAAAAAATGCAGTGATATCTAAGTTATGAGATAGCAGGCAAACTGTTGACAACAGGCACTACAGAAGGAGGAGGAGATGGAAGGAATAATGCAGCAGCATCTATTACATGTGGGGAAATCAGATGCATTTGCATGAGAGATGATACCAGAAACTGGTTTTACATCCTCCTGCCCACTTGGCAAAGGACTAGTCCTCTACACCTTGCAAAGGGAGACACCCCTCCACAGTGTGTACCAGGCTACTCTGTGTAATTTGGTTAGCAAAGTAATTAACTTCCTCCAAGGAAGGAGGAGTATCCAGTGCCGGTCACACTGTTCCATGTTTCCTTTGTTATTAGGCACTGTTTATGGGTAAAGAATTAGCTTAGTATATTAGAGGGATAAATATTCCATTCCAAAATTAGAAATGGAATTATGAAAACAGAAAACACATTGCCTATGTGCAAGATCTCAGCTGCATCCTCATGCTGTGTTTTTGGTGTCTCCTAGGACAACGTTCAACCATAAGAGATGTGGGCTGAATGTAATAGGTCTTAACTTTTTCCAGAAATTTGTTCAGTATGCCTTCAGGTTTTTTGAACTCAGGGTTGATTCCTCCTGCATGTCCCAAACTAGTCCATTCTCTGTAGGTTATACCAGCTCCTCTAGTAAGTTGGAAACCTTTGTAAAAGGCATGTCAAAGTAAAACCCTTTAGTTAGCACTGTGCATGTCCGCTTATCTCTAGCAGTTCATAGAATGATAGAACTACAGGATCATTTAGGTTGGAGGACACCTACAAGATCATCAAGTCCAACCGCTAACCTAACACTACCAAGTCCACCACTAAACCATGTCCCTAAGCACCACGTCTAAACATCTTTTAAATACCTCCAGGGATGGTGACCCAACCATTTTCCTGGGCATCCTGTTCCAATGCTTGACAACCCTTTTGGTGAAGAAATTTTTCCTAATTCCCAATCTAAACCTCCCCTGGTGCAACTTGAGGCCGCTTCCTCTTGTCCTATCACTTGCAGCTTGGGAGAAGAGACCGACACCCACCTTGACACAACCTCCTTTCAGGTAGCTGTAGGGTCTCCCGTCTCCTTTTCTCCAGGCTAAACAACCCCTGTTCCCTCAACCCCTCCCCATAAGACTCGTTCTCCAAACTCTTCACCAGCTTTGTTGCTTTTCTTTGGCCGTGCATGGAGAACATACTTGGCAGAAACATGAAGCAGCTTTGAGAGTGGTTCTGCCTTAGCTGTGGGAACCCTGCCTCCCTGGGCTTTCTGCAGGCGACCCTGCCACCAGCACCATTTCGCACCAGGGCGGTACTGCCCCAGAAGGGCTTGGTCCAGGACTGCGCTGCTGGAAGAGCTTTTCTTTCACGGCTCATACCCTTCTGGGATGGGCCTCATGAAGTCAGGACGGACTAAGGGTCTGTACGAACACATTGGTGGTGGTGAACGAGCTCGTTTCTCCCATCAACATAATGGCGGATTCCTTTGCTAAAGCAGTGAAACGCTTGCACGTGTGGACAGAAGTAGGGACAGCTGCCTGTCGGCCCAACTCACTGGTGCAGTCGAGGACTTTGTGTAGCTGTGAGAGGAACAACCTCTGGGTATTCGGTGGTGACAAGGGTGCCGCGAAGAGGGGGGCAGTCCCGGCCCTCGGGCCTGACTAAAGCACACCTCACTCCGCGCCCGGCCCCGCCGCCGCTCCCGCTCTGCCCGGCAGCCCCGCCCCCCTCCCGCCGGGACGGCTCGCAAGGCATGCTGGGACTTGTAGTCCGCCCTCCCGCCCCCGCTTCGCCGAAAGGCGGGGAGGGAGGCGGGGGTCGAAACTACAACTCCCAGCGGGAAGCCGGGGCGTGACTCCGGACTGCCCGTGTTTGAGCCCGCCCGGGGCGGGCGGCCGGTGCCGCTGGGTCGGGCCGCGGGGGCGGGGCTCTTCTTTTCCCGTCGCTCAGCCGCACCGCCCGCCCGCGGCCCGGCAGCTGCAGCGGGGGAGGGACGGGGCCGCCGCCGCCTGGGGCTGAGGGCGGACGGCGCTCGCGGCTCCTGCATGCCTTCCTGCGCGCGCGTGCCGTGGGCGGCGGCGCGCGGCCGGCTGCGTGGGCCGGGGGAGGCGAAGGTTGGGCGGGCGGGGAGGCGGCGGGAGCGGGGCTCCAGCGCGGCTCCCCGGCGCTTCTGGCCCGCCCGGCGTTAGTGCGGTCTTCGCGCTCCAGCGGCCGGAGAGAGAGGGGCCGGTGCGGTGCGGTGCGGGGGACCCGCCTGGCCTGTCGCCGCGGAGCGACTGACTGGCCGCGGCAGGGGGTGCGCGCCCGTGTGGTCCCGTCCCTCGCCGCCTCCCCCCGGCTCCTCCCGCGGGCGGCCGCCGCTGCGGTGGTTACCGCCTCCCCCTGAAGATGAAGAGGCGGCAGCTGCTGCTTCAGGGTCTGGCTGCCGGGGAGAAACCGGGATAGAGGCTCGGGGGAAAAAAAAAAAAAAAAAAAAAAGGGGGGGGGAGAGGAAAGTCGCCGCTCTCCGGCTGGCGGAGGGGGGGGAGCTGGGCGTTCTTCTCACCTTGCTCCGGGCGAAAGCGCGGCGAAGCGAGGCAGGCGGGCGGGCAGCAGCTCCTCTGCGCCGAGGGGAGGGGGCAGGATGCGGGGGGGGGGCCGGCACCGCCGCGGGCCGTGGGCGAGAGCCTGAGCGGCGGGAGCGGCGTGCGACCGCCCGCGGCGGCCCTGAGTCGGGCGGCGAGGATGGTGGAGGGAAGGAGGGAGAAGTCCCGGCAGAGATCTCCCACCGGCGGCGGAGCCTCCCTCTCTTCTCCCTCCTCGACCTCCCTTCCGCACGGCCGCCCGCCCCGCGGGGCTGGGGCGCTGGGGAGCATGAGGCGGCGGCGGGAACCTGTTGTGTAGGGGGAGGCGGGGGTTAAGCGCGGCGGCGGCGCCGCCCGGGGCGCGGGGCGTGAGGCGAGGGAGGGAGGATGAGGAGGACCTGCTCCTGTGGTGTCTGTCGGGGACCGGCCCTGCCCCGGGCTGCCGCGGGCTCGGGAGAATCCCCGTCCGTGGGGTCGTGAGAGGGGCCCGCGGGGAGCCCCCGGGTCTGCGCGGAGCGGCGGCCGCTTCCCGCTGAACGGCGGCGTCAGAAAGAAGAGAGCTTGAAGTGTTTCTCGGAAGCTGGAGTTGCAGCCTGGTTTCTTTTATTGCTTTTTTTTTTTTTTTTTTAAATGAGTTGATACGCATGTCTCTCGAGGGAACGTTTTAGGAATGGTCATTTTTAGCAGTGAAATCTGCTGCGCAAAGGAGGATTATAACAAATCTCTATGAATGATAGACTCGATTGCTAAACCTTTCCTTGACCAACCATCTGACCCTCGGAGAGATCTCTCAGGGTGTGCGTGGGAAGGAAAAAAAAAAAAAAACAAAACAAAACCCTCCCATTTGAAAATAAACTTGAAAAAAAGACTAATTTTTTTTTTTTGGACAGTCTAACTGCTTTATAATTATTTTTTTTTTTTTTTTTTTTTTAAATCTTGTTTTGTGATAAGTTGTTTTAAACAGGATTATCCTACATGGTGGTTTTGTAACTGGTGGAGGAAGGAAGGAAGGATCCATCTCAAGCATTTCTGATATGACAGCTTTGGTTTTTGAAGAGTTAACTGGCGCTTGCATGATACACCTATTGCTAGTCTGGTAGCAGACTTTTCATCTTTATTTTTTATTAACTGGGGCTGGTGGAGAGGGTTATCTCAGTCAGAAGGATATTTGCACATATATATATTGTATATATTTTTGGTGGGGTTCTCCCCACATTTACTCTCTCTTGATGACTCCTGGAGGTGGTAGTGGGCCCATGAAAGACTGTGAATACAGTCAGATCAGCACACACAGCTCTTCGTCTCCCATGGAGTCTCCCCATAAGAAAAAGAAATCAGCTCCCAAGAGAAAATGGGAGGTTTTTCCTGGAAGAAACAAATTCTTCTGCAATGGGAGGATCATGATGGCTCGACAGACTGGAGTCTTCTACCTGACTCTTGTTCTCATCTTGGTCACCAGTGGACTCTTCTTTGCATTTGAGTAAGTGACATTAAAGTGTTCATAATATTCCTTCTCTTCCTCTAGTTATTTATTTTCTGACTGAAAATAAAGAAACATGTTTATCCAGATGTCATAGAGAATCCTGGCTGAATTCAGCTAATGTTGCTTTCTATGATTGAAAATACGCTGAAAGATTGAAAGATGCTGAGGGACGCATGATCCTGTTTTGGTTATCGTGCTCCGTGAAAGACTAATGCTTGAGGATTAAGGTTGTAGTGCTTTTATATCACCCGTTTCCAGCTCTTGGTGCTGGTGCAAGATGAGTGTAAAACAGCAGGTTTGGGATGGTCAGGAAATGATGTAGCTTCTTGTTTGTCAGTTACTCTGCTGAGAATCAAAGCTGGCAGGTGCGAAAATACTGATCCTTTGTCGCAGAACTGCATGCAAGAAAAGCAGTATCTTTCATTAGTTTATGAATTAGGCCTGTTTTTTTCTCTTGAAGTTGTTCAGTAGCTTGTTGATGAGAATTCCAAGTTAGTAAAAAAAAAAAAAAACCAAACCAAAACCCATCTGTACCATGTTGCATGTACCTAGCTTTCCACCACTAGGTAACAGCATTACTTTCTGTTTGTGATGATTACTTGTATGTGAGTTTGGTCTTCATTTAAGCCATGTTTGGTTTGGAGGTTTGGATTTTTTTTTTTTAAGCAGGCTTCTTGTGTCCTCCTAGGGCTTTTTTCTCTCTTGCTCAGAATCTTCAGGAGTCTTTTTATCTATATAAAGTGAACACACAGTAACATTAAATCAAATATACTGATTTTTGCACTTACGCTGGAGTGGTTATATTAACTATGCATGACAAAGAATTAGGCACTTGATACGAACAGTACAGTTTGACTTCTATTATTTTTTTTAAAGCACCTAGTACAAAGTTTCTCACACTGCTAAAGCACTTGCTATAGTAATGTTTGAGTTCTTTTTAAACAGTTAATACTGTTTTACCTGTTTTTAACTATCGTAGCTTGTTTTGTAGCTTGTGGCAGAAAAAAATTTTTCAAATTACATATGCAGCTTTTAATATTTTCATTAATAGGAACTAATATTTATAAGTAAGCTTATAAATATTAGTGCTGCCTCCAGAAATTCTGTACGCTTTGCTAAGTGATGCAGTTGAATATCAAAGGTCATTCGTTACTTGGCATCTTCAAGAAGATAGTGACGTTAACAAATCCTAAATTGTACCAGTGAAATGTAGATCATCTTGACATACCGGTAGTAGTAAAGAAGGTAAAAATGTTCAGCAGATAACCAGTGGCTAAACATACACGTGAGCTCAGCAGATGAATTGTCCTTAGTGGGCTCCAGATTACTTTAGAGGGATTTATTAATTGTAAATCTTCCGCAGATACCATGAAGCTACTTGAATATTCTTTGAAATAATACAGTCGGTGGTATCCATGTACTGCAAGTGTGTTAACTTTCCTGGTTTTAAAGAGGTATTAAAGGTGTAACCTGATCGTATTGCATCAGGACTGGGTGCTACTCTATTCTGTTTGCCATGATTAGGCCTAGTTGTGGAAAGCTTTTCTGTGTGGGCTGACACTTGCATCTGTGTGCGGTCTCATCGCCTTCAGCAGAGCCTCTGAAGGCAAGCGCTGGGCTTCCTGCAAATATCAGAATGTAAATGTAGGATCAAAACTATAATATTTTATAACCATGATTATAAAACTTACTTATTAAGCCACCATTTACAGTTTACTTACACGTTTTAACACTTCGATCCTTCAGAGAGGAATATTCTTTGCAGCTGCATGATTCAGATCTGCTAGGGCAGGATGAGCTGATAGCTGTTCATCACCTTCTGATTTCATTACTGCTGTGAGTTATGTGCTGTACCAGAGTCGAACACCACAGCTTCTGTCGTGTCTTTGAGCTTATGTGCAGTATAACTGTATGCCATGTACAACGTTTTTAGTCAAGCTACAGCATTTTGATATATGATCGGTGCTCATTCTAACTGGCAGTCTTGAAGCAGGGAAAAATCTCAGGTTTTATATAACTATATTAGCTCTGTGTGTGTGTATTGGTCTTGAGTCATTCTTGTATCACTTGCACTCTCCTTTTAAGGAAAGTCAAAATAGAGGGTGGCAATGATATTTCATTTTGATAATAATAAGGTAGATTTTGGTCTTTAAAAAGCACTTACACTGGAAAATTATTACTCATCCTCTGAAGGCTAATTAAAAAACAAACCTTAAGGGTATGAGAATGGTGTTCAGCATGTTTGTGATGTTTGGACTGCAGTAGGTTTTTAATCTTACAAAAAAAAGAGGGGAGTCTGATTAAAAAACATTACTTTGCAGCAGTTTCTAATTGCGCCTCTTCATAGTAGTCTCAAGTTACTATTTATTGATCAGTTGATAACATCTTAAGTTGTCGAGAGTGTCACTTCCATTATCTGTCTGACGCTTTGCATTAACCAGCTGTTTACAGAATAAGACAGAAATGTGTTTCGGTCCTTTGTGTACACATGGGGCAAAGTGATTTTAAAATGGGCATGTGCTTTGTGTGTCCAGACTGTAAAGTCAAACTGTCATTGAAGAGGAACATACCTTGTATGTTCTTGGAATTGTTTGGTCTTTTTGCTACAATTGAAATAAATGATTTTGTTCCCTTTGGTTTTGGAAACTGGAAAACTCATGTCCCATGTCATTCCGCAGTTGCAGGCAGTGAAGAGGGGGATTAGGAAAGAGATGACCAGGAAAGCATCATTCCAACATGAACACTTGTCCTTTATCCTTTTGTCTTTGTTCCTCCAACATGATTTCCCCCCCTTCCTTTTATTTTGCTCTTGATGCCCATTCACCCAGAACTGTATCTCACATGCTTTGGAATCTTCTCCAAGGGAGAAATACGTTTCTCTGAATCAACAAATCCTAGCTCTCCAAACGCAAACATATGTCATACATCTTGACCTGTATAGCTTTTGCCACTGAACCATGCCTTTGTAATCTTTGTTTCTTCATATTTATGCTTCTGTGCTTTTTCCTGCCTATGTTTTACCCCTCCTACTTTTGGCTGGTTTTATTCGTTTCTCTCTGTTGATTTTCATCTCTCATATACTCCAAGTACATCACCACTTCTTCCTTTTATCATTTCACTGTTTTTTCCCGTTTTCAAAGAAGCAAGAATTTGCTTAAAAGAAAAACAACAAACCATGAGCTTTCAAGCAGGTGAAATATTTATAATTCCTGTCTCCTTCCCCTTCCAAAGAAAGAGAATGGAAATAACAAGCAATTTTATTTCTGTAACTTGTCTATTAAATGTCGCATGAATTATTGTGAGCACTTTTGGGTCCCAAGAGTGATGCAGTGCTTGAGGTAATCTTAGAAATTATGACTGTTTTCAAACACTCAAGATAAGACACCACAAATTATTTAATTTGTGTTTAAAGTTTGAGTATGTTATTTTATCTTGGAAATATATTTTCTGACTCTAACTGCATGATATTTAGCAGTTTTTCTTTTTTCTTGCAAATTTGGCTTTGTGTTGCACTTCCTTTTTTTTTTCCTTTGCCTGCCCCATTACACAGACATATGTATTTTTAAAAACTGT